CTCTTTAGCAAACATTCCAGTCTGATGGGACTGGAATGTTTGCTAAAGAGGATGAGTTATGAGATAGACCAAACTTCTCTCTCTCAGCAATTGTAAATTCAAAATTAAAGGGCTTTAATTGAGGAAATGTGGAAAAAACAGAAGAAATAACAGCCCTTTATTAAAAGATATATGTATGTTGGTAAAAACAGTAACAGAACACAAAAAACCTGGACAGCAATCCTAGAAAAAAAACACCAAAAAAAAGGGTCTGACTGAACACTTCTCTGTCCTTTAGCACAGTCCTAATTGTGGCCTGCAGGGGGCGCTGTTGGGTCACTGGCGGTCACCACGCGGGGAGAGGGGTCCGGGGGGTTGGTCTTGGGTCGCGGGAGGAGCCGAAAAGAAGATGGGGGACCCTTCCCCCCCCAGTGGAAGGAAGGGGTAAGTGCCCCAACAGGACTCACTGTGGTTCTCAGTTGATGGCGCCCCAAAAGCTCCTCCTTTTCTCCCAGCGAGCACAGAGACTCTCCGATGAAAGCACAGCAGGTCCAGGTTGGAGACAAAAGACAGCTCGCAGGCAAGTTGAAGCCAGCAGTCAGGGCTGACCAGGACAGGAAACCAAACAAAAAGGCTTCCAGGCCTTCTCTCCAAATGCCCCAAACACAGACCCTGTCTCCACCCTTGAAAAAAAGAACCCAGCCGTCTGAATCTGTCCCCTCTGAACCGAGCCAGCCGCCCCCTCCCCAAAACTCCTCCCCTCTCCCCCCAGTTTCTGATGGGCCATTTGAGAGGAATTCGGCCAGATCTTTTGTAAAGCTAATTGGCTCCCTTCCCCCTCTTCCACTCAAACTCCATCTTTCCTACAGTGGGGGTGGGGGGGCAGAGGAAAGAAAAATTCTCCTGAATTTCTAACCTATAACACAGGTACTCACCCATCTCACACAAAAAAAAAAAAGTAAAAGCGAAACTATCACACACTGAATCACAGAATAATAGAATCATAGAATGATTTGGGTTGGAAGGGACTTTAAAGATAATTTCGTTCCAATTCCCCTGCCATGGGACACCTTTCACTAGGCCAAGTTGCTCAAATCTCTATTCAACGTGGCCTTGAACCTGACCTTGAACCACACCACCTTTTACATTGTGAATTCTTTTTGAATAATAGAGAATAATATGAACAATGTTCTTGTTCTTTGGCTTTCCTTACTTTAAGTGGGTTTGTGATTACGGAAGAGAGGAATCAAAAGCATACTACTAGACATTTAGTTGAAGGAAATGGATCAGATCCGAACAACCTAGAAATTCTATCATTTTTTTTCCACTCAAGATCTCAAAGAATTCCAGAGCCTTATCAAGACTCTGCCTACATACTCCCAGGGAGACTGATTTCAAATTGGAGTAATGCTTAAATGAAGACACCACTGAAAGAATTGTCATAAAAGTGACTTGTCATAATTAGTATTATTTTCTAGGTGAGCCCTACTGTGCCAATCAGAAAGACTGCTGCTTACTACAGAAAGAAAAAAAGACAGTAGACTAATTGTACTGTATGATTCTCTATTGAGCTTTCAGTGTTTGATGTACTCACTGTAATGTGCTTACTGTTTGTGTTCTCCACATAGGCAGCACTCTGTACAAACATTAAATAGTCATAACCAAGTTATGGTCAGTCTTTTCTTCAATCCCAGAGTGAGGAGCTTTCCCAGATGGTATGTTCTTTAATAAAGTCCATATGTTGATCAGCAGCAACAGCGGGGAAGAGGCTTTATAAGCAAAGGCTGAGGGACCAAGCCAACAGCAGTCACAGGCTGGTTAACTGGTGAGGCATGTGGATACCTTGCATCAACTGGAAATGTGCTGCCTTTCACTGGTTGGCATGGCTACCTGCTCGCTTCTCGGTCTCTTCAATTCAACCCTGTCCCCAGTCCGTTCTTTCCTTGTTGCTTGGTCATCTTATGTCGTCCTTCCTTTCCTGTGTTCAGCTGTGGCATGGTATGTATATTTTCCATTTCTTTGCTGGCTCTCAATTTTGTCTGTTACTGACTGCTATGCCCAGCCATTTGCTGGACTGTGTATCATTTCAGATGTTCCTTGCAGGTCTCTGATCATGCTTTTTCTAGTGTATGCACTGTTAGTTTTATTGCTTCTCTGCTCAAACTGAAAAAACAACGCCCTAGAGGAGCAAAGACATTAAAAATTATAGCTTCTTCTTATTTATTTCTGTTTGTGTTTCTGTAATATTTCTTTATCTCTTCTATTTTTTAGCGCAAAGGACGAACTACACTGAAGATACGTAAAATATTGTTTGGCATTGAATCACTCACAAAAGCTATTTATTGCTCTATATAATCTTCTGACATTCATAGAATACCTTAAACAAAACTTCTCAGTCCCTTCCATCTTATATTACATCTGCTTACTTCCCAAGCTAACAAATCATGTTTCAAATGGATGAAGGTCCTAAGTGAATAACTTTTTGTGAAGAACAAAGAGCAAATAGAAAAGTACAAAATTACAGTAGGTGAGGCTTCAAGAAAAGGTAGTAATTCAGGGAAATAAGGAAAGATGGAAAAAGAATGTAGAGATACACAAACAAAGTGGCTGCATACTGTAATTAGAATAAGCTCATCTAAATGTAAAAGTCTTTAAGTCTTAAAAATTAATTTCAAGAGGTAAGACTTTTGCTTGGTTCTGCCAAAAAAAAACCCCTCACTCCTAAATTTTGGGTGTTTTAAAAAAGTTACTTTCCCAATAAGACTAAGAATAGAGGAACAAACTATTTCAGTGAATTATCCACTGAAGTATACCTTATACTTTGGTATTCTGGTGAAGGCTGTTACAGAAAAAGAGAAAAAATGAAATATTTTTCCACCCCAGGAAGAATTAATGGCTTGAACTAAAGAGGAAGATTATTTCCTACAAATATTTAGCTTATGAAATGCACAACTTAAACTCTAATCATGAAAACTCTTCACAAAAGCCAGAGCTTCTCTTAAGCTGACATGTTCCTACATGTATTTGAAGTTGCAACTGCAATAAGTGAAAGGAAAAAAGACCTCAGTAAAATATGGCACCTCTGTTTTCCAAAGTCTTGGAATCATACTGCTGAGACCTCTGACTTCCATAGCTGTCACTTCCTACCCCAGCTGTGAGCTTGAGTCTGATTTTCATGCAAGCAAAACCTTCACAAATGCCAGGAAAGGCAATGAATTTTGAACCTGGTGATTTTGCAAGATTTTCTAGTTTTACTGTTTATAGCAAATTTTTTCTCCTCTGTAGCACGTTAGTAATTTCTACAGGAAATAATAAAAAAAGCCCCGCACATCCAAAAAGCTCCTATGCTTTTAAGAGTACAGAGAACCAAGTCTACAGTTTTTTGAGAATCATCGTCTCCCACTGTAAAATTTTTCTTTAATGAACTTAGATGATTAAGAAGGATTCAGCAAGAAATTAAATTATATTGTTGATAACTGAATTCATAAACAGGAAATAAAAGTGCAAATAGGTTAAGTGAGGTTATTTTTGCCTGCTTTCAACAATCCATAGAAAAGTAATATGTTATTGGTGATTTGATTTACTGACCTACTTTACAAGACTCTATAGGAAGCTGTCTGTAGATGTTGAATCAGATTCTTTCAGATGAAATGTTGCTTTTCTTGCTGTGTGCATAAATATCTAAATATGATAATCATGTACACACACAGAGGCTGAATCAACTCCAATTGATGGCAAAACTTCAGTAATGCAAGTTCTGGGCTTTGGCAGTTGGTAGAAATGTCTGCAAACAGTGAAGATGTTATCAGCAAAAGGCAGTGAAAGCTTTGGCAGTAGATAAAGACTGCTTAGACTTCTCCTTTTAAAGCTTATGTGGACTCCTATCCTGGGATGGAAACTTCTGCCCCTTGCCTTACATCTGCCTAGAAAAGCTGATGGTTCCAACATTTGTGCCTAACTATTTTTTAGCCTGTGATATGATTTCCATAAGATTACTTCTGAGGGACAGGGACTTATTATTATTTCACTGAAGAAAAAGTGAACTGCAAAGAAGCTTCTTCTTGGGCCCACAGGGAGTTTATATTAGGGCAGGTGTTTGAAGCTAGACTAGAGCTCTAAATTCTAGGTCATGTTTTCTCCTGCTGGACTCCTGCTTGCCACATCTTCACGGCTGTGTGGGTTGAAGAAATCACTAGATTTTTCCCTGGAGCAGTGTATGACAGTAATGTTCGGACTAAGACATGAGGTAGGAAGCAAAATAAAAATCTACCAAATGCATAGCATAGTTGGAAAAATTAATAATTAAAAAAGGGAACACCTTTTAAATCTGTGCCTATTACAGGAACTTAAGGTACTACTTAGAGCAACAGTTAACACTGGATATGACATGAATGAAAGATAGCATTGGAAATGCAATTTGCAAGTTTCCTTTATCATGCCAGTACTCTTCCGCCTTTCCAGTGGTGCTCTTTAGGAAGCATTTACACAAACCAGTGCATTCACTCAGCACTCTGTTCAGGGAACATTTCTTAGGCTGGCCTTGCTTTCTGCCTGAGTCAAACATATCAACAACTCCAATACAAGCACTTCTTAAGTTACTTTTAATTTCAGAACAACAATAAATAAATAAAGCCCTCTTGCACATAGCTCAGCTCTTCAGTCTGAAGTCTTCATCCTTCTTTTCAAACCCAGAAGTTAACTGTCTCCATGTTTTCTGACTTGGAAGCCTGTTGGAATTCAGAAGCTTGAACTTGGGTGTCTGGGCTGTGTCCTGGTATCTGTCTGTAGCTTCTTTATGAAGGATAAACTCAATAATCTCCGAGGTCTTTTCCAACATAGTTGAGTCTGTGATTCTGTTACCATGCGCTCCTCTAGACCTATGTAAGGTTCTGTGGTGGGGGGAAACAGTTTTCCCCCTGAAGTTATAAAATGGTAAAACCCCAGGTGGTGGTGACCCTTGAGGTTTTACCCAATGAACGCTTCTGCAAAATATAAACATATCACAAGCAGAACGGAAGAGAAGATGATAGTAGTTGTTGTTGGAAAAGTAGCCATGTTGTAGAGCCACGAGGAGAGAGAGGCAGGAGCCCCCTGGGGGCTCTGGCACCCCCCCCCAGCCCCCAGCAGGGGGGGCTGCAGGGACTTGGAACAGTGTAAAACTGGGCTAAGTATCTGTAGCTAGAAAGCTAAAGAAGTTTTCTCCACTGTGAGGAGCAGAGACAGAGCAGCAGCAGGAGCAGCATCCAGAGACTGTGGTTGAGAGCAAAGAGATAATGGAGAAGCAGCAGAAACAAACATGCAGCCAAGCAGGAACACACAGAGTTGTCTGAGAGAGCCGAGAGAGAGAGCC